TTTGTAACAAGAGGTATGTACATTACCTGCTTTATTTCCTTTATTTTAATATTATATCTGATCTTTAGACTTCAAAATTTTTAACTTACCGTAGTTGTTAGCTTAAATCATATTAAATATCATTATCACTATAATTTTCATTAATTCAAGAAGGATCATAAATCTTTCATCCTGGGATTCTATCAAATTTACAATTGCTGTAATTACTTAAGTTAAATGTGATAGCATCTAATAAAACTTAACTGTCACAAATTTTGGAATTCCTCTATTTTTATATCATGTTCTACTAAAATTAGGGGTAAGCTTATAAAAAGTTTATCCTAGATTCATCAAATATTTACTATATTTCAAAGGATGCTTGATAAGCGTTACTGAATAACTAAACTATTATATCTGATTCATACTGATTGTTATTCTAATACTTCATTTTCGTTTTTTTCATGTCTAATATAAAAGGTTTCTCTATAAAATTTATAAAAGTCTCGTAAACTGATTAAAATGTACCAATATAGACAGTATATAACAGCTGATTATAAACTCTCTTTAGCAATACAAATCGCAAATCATAAGTGAATAATTTTATTTTTTTAATAATTTATTCAATTGTGTCAGTCAATAATTTTTTTGCAATTTATTTAGGCTTTCATATTACTTTCCAATATGAAAGTATTGATAGTACAAGTATTGATAGTATTGTATACTCGGTTTTCAAGCATTCAGCATTTTAGTTTTGAGTATTATTTTCGTGCAGTAATATTTTCCCTATATAAAAAAACAAATTTTTTCTTTAACATTTAATTTTCAACTAATTATGAGATTGATTTAGCAATAGAACCTGTCTTTTAATAGTTTTCTAAGTATTACAAAATTTTCTCAATTCTTAAACACGTAATACGATAAACGATAACATATAAATATCGTAAATACACTATGAAAGCATTAAAAGAAAAAGCCGCTGTAAGAATTACATTACATTACTCTAACAAGTTTTGTTACTAATATAAAAATTATAATAAGTTAATATATATATATATAAGAGAATATAATGTACTTAAGTATATATATATTGTTTAACGAAGTTATATTATTTTTTATATGTATTAAAAATATTTTGCAAACACAATATAAGGAGTTGGCAACACTGTGGCACAGCTGATTTTAACTTTAACTATTAGCGTTGAATATTTCGCGATATGACAGCTAAAATAACATAAACAAAAAGATAAAAAAACATGGAAGAATTTAAGATACCAAGTATTCCAGTTACACTACCGAAAACTGATAAATATAGTGAAGAGAATGATGATATAGCAGAGATACCTCCGTCAAAAATAGAAACCAGTGAGGAAGCGGAACCAGTAAATACTTTAGCACAATGTTGCCCATACAAAATTCCGCCATGGTCAGGAGTTCCAACTAACAATTTAGTATATAAATTTGAAGTACTAAAATCGGGACAAATAATTGATCAAGTAAATGACTTACAGAAGCAAGCAACGTGGAAATTTGGACGCTTGCCGGCAAATGATATTGAAATGGCACACCCAACTATATCTCGTTTTCATGCCGTACTGCAATACAAACCGAAGTCAATTAATGAAGATAACTCAACTGGGAATATTATACAACCAGAAGGTTGGTATGTATATGATTTGGGCAGTACGCATGGTACCTTTCTTAACAAACAGCGGTTACCATCTCGTGTTTTTATACGCATACGTGTAGGGCACATGTTACGCTTAGGTGCCAGTACCAGAAATTATATATTGCAAGGTCCCACCGATGACGAGGAACCTGAATCTGAATTGAGTGTTACAGAATTACGTGCTCAAAGAGATGCACAAATTATTGCAGAAGCTCAGCGAAAAGCTGAAGAAGCATTAAAACGTGAAAAGAGTGAAGAAGTTAGTTGGGGTATGTCTGAAGATGCTGATGAAGAAACTGATCTTACACACAATCCCTTTGCGAGTACAAATAATGAAGAATTATTTTTGGATGATCCAAAGCGAACACTGCGTGGTTATTTTGAGAGGGAAGGTTTAACTTTAGATTATAAATGTGACGAAATGTCTGCGGGATCATTTATATGCCGTGTTGAGCTACCATTAGATGATGCAAATGGTCGACCAATTGTCGCAGAGGTGGTTCATAAAGGTCGTAAAAAAGACTGTGTTGCACAATGCGCATTGGAAGCGTGTCGTATACTCGATCGTCACGGAGTGCTAAGGCAATCCAATCAAGGTAATTTACTTCCAAATTATAATTTAGTGTAAACTAAGAGGAATTTTCGTTTTTCAGAGCCACTTAAACGGAAAGCTAAACAAAACGACGACTCAGATAATGATGATTTTTTGGATCGTACAGGCGATGTAGAACGTAAAAAGTTACGCAAATCAAATATTGATAAAAATGTTACTCTGACTTATGAAGATTTGGTAAGTTAATTTGTTTTAAATTACTTATAAATTCTATTATAATATTATAATTTATATAATATAATTTTAATTTATATAATATAATTATAATTAATATAATATAATTATAATTAATATAATATAATTATAATTAATATAATATAATTATAATTTATATAATATTATTATAATTTATATTATACTATATATTATAAAATATTTATACTTATAAATAAAAATTTATGTTTTATATGTTTTACATATAATATATATGTATTTTACTCAGATTAAGAAAGAAACAGACATTCAAGAGCATTTAAAGCAAGTAGAGTCCAATATACAAAAGTACCAGGATAAACAGAAACGAATTAAAGAAAATAAGGTTCAGCAGGATAAAATAGATGGAGATTTGGATGCGTTCATGGAAAATTTAAATGATGATGATGAACAACTGGATAAAACTAATATACGTAAATTACGTGTAAGTTCGAAAAAGAAGACTTTAATTCAAATAAAAATTAATCATATATTTTTTTACAACAGATGGAGGAACAGCGGCTCAGGTTGGAACAAAATAAAATTGAGCGCCTTATTAAAATTGCAAAACCAACACTGATAGCTTTTACAGCATGCACATCAACCCAACAAACAACGAATACAGTTGGCAAACCTAAACAATTACCAATGATTGGTAAACGTAATCAGTTTAGTAAATTTAAAGTCATTAAACCAATAACTGCAAACGTAAAATCTACAGTGACGAAATTCGATGACAATGGTGTTGAAATTGAAGAAGAGGAAGACGAGGATGAGGACGAGAAAGAAGAAAATAATAAAATTGTAGAATCTAAATCAGAAGATTGTACTCATAAAGTATCTGCAACACAAATTTCTCCTAAACATGACGACAAGGACGAAAATGCTCAATCAATAGATAATAATGTTAAGGAAACTGTATCAACATCTACAATGAATGAGAAAACAGCCAATTTAACAATATTAACGAATAAAAACATGAAAAAACCAATTACAGAAGGAAATGAAAAAACTGATTCTATACCTGTAGTTACAAATGCAATACCTGTCACTGAAATGCCAAATGAAGCTAAAAAGCGTCATCGACAGAAACAACGTATTCGTAACAAAAGAGAAGAATTCGACTTGGACGAACTCGAAGAACATGAATCTTCCGAAAAATATGCAAAATGGGTACCACCAGAAAACCAGACTGGTGATGGCTTTACAGAATTAAATAAAAAATATGGTTATTAAAGTAGATTTAATGTGTTTTTAAAAATGATGTCTATTATTTTTTATTGTTTTATTATTACTACTTCCTTTATGAGAAACTAAAGTATCATTAAGTTTATAAGCCATTTATTTATTCACTCTTTCTGGCAGTCATTGCAAAGTGCACGAAATGCAAAAATGCTATACTAAAATTGCAGGAGTGCAAGAACACATTTGTTGCAGAATTGCAACATCTGTGTTTGAAACAGCTGCTTTTGCAGCATACCACATCCACATAAGAAGTAACAAATGTCAAAACAGCTGGTTTTTTTCTTCCTTTTTTATGTCATTGCAAGCATATACATATATATGGGTTTAGGTATAGCAAGATTGCAACCAATTGCAAGAAACTTTGTGCGAGTATATTGTTGATGTCTATTCCAAGCGCGTGTAATCTGTGCATTTTAAATGAGTGAATAGCCCTAATATTTTACTGACAAATAATATTTACTGTTGGTTGCAAGCATTTGCTCAATTCGAACTTTCTATAATAGAGAAGTTTTTGAACACTTGCGAATTCCAACAATTTTTTTGTAATTATATGAATTTTTGGCTGACCATATAATTGTCTCGAGTATTACGAAATAAATAACCGTCAGTGGTGTTTTTTATTCCTTTTATTGTTTTTTTTTTCGTTTTATTGTTATTTATTCCTTTTTATTATTGAGTTGTTCCCAACTCTATATATGAATATATATAAACTGCAATTGTCAAATAGTCCGTTCACATGGGATGGAACAAGAAATACCGGCAAGGGAAAGAACTTAGTACAAAGAATGAATATGCATAGCATAGTAGTTTTGTATATACACATATTTTGGATTTGGTTGATTTAAAAAATAATTTACTTTGCATTTCGTATATTCGTATAATGCGGGATTCCGAACATTTTAAATAACCTTTGCTGCGCATCTATTTATGCTTTTAACTGACAATAATCATTTATGTTGCAAATCATTGATTAGAAAAATAAAAAAAACTTCAAATTATATTAATAACAAATATTCAAAATATGAATATTTTTTAAGG